CACATTAGATATGAGAAATCACATTAGATATGAAAAAACGCACATTAGATATGAGAAAACGTTAGATATGAGAAAACGTTTTATATTTTGTGTAATGTGATGAATCGTGTATCTAGGAAACACTCTGTACAAAAAATATATCATGTTTTAACACGCTATTAACACATTGACATAAACAGCACATAACAAAACAAAAAATTTATCAGTTTATCAGTTTAAGAGTGTTTCTTACGAAAAACATCGGATTCTTCTCCAAAACAGGTAGTCTTCCATCCTCAATTGTGCCATAATTTGTCAGTGTTGCTGTAATCATACTGATAATGTCACCGCATACCATCAAGCAAAAATAATTATGTAAATTCCTTGTCTAATTGAAAGAAGTTAATGGGTGAATCTAAAAAAGTTTTAATATGAATGAAGGGAATCAAATTCGAAGTTTTTGAAATGAGCAATCACTCAGCATTAAATAGTGCCAGTATGCAATTCACTATGGTCTAAACATACATTTTAATTGCATTGTCTCTATTAATTGGTCATTGTCCCATAACTTGTCAGCTTCACCATGCATAACAATTGCCATAACTGAAATTGATGCCAGGACATATCAGCACAACATTACGAATAAGTATTAATCATCGAGTTTGTATCGCTTTAATTGGTCATCCTATCGTTTTAATTGGTCTCCCATTGGAACAGAGTGAAATTTTGTCTTCTGCATTTTATGAATTTTATGCCATCGAACCATTTGAGAATGAATGTAACTCTCGTTGCCTTTGCAGTAAGGGCAAGCGTCTGTGACATTTGTACTGATACCAATTAAAACTCAAATTACCGAAAAGGTAATGGGTGATATGATAGGGGGTGATGGTAAAAGCAAAATATTCCAGGGACTTCATTTCATTTGAAGGCAAAGTGGAATCATAAAAAAAAGGTGAGATAAATACCTCCGGGGTTAACTTGTCCGGGAGCCAGCATCATTGCACCACAACAAATAACGAGAACAAAATATACGACTAGCCTTGCCATATCTGAATTGCTATTAAAATGCTAAACCGATATTTCCTAAAGTATTCGTTGCACGTCATTAATTTACTCCGACTTCGACTGAGATATCGAGTTAATTTTTTGTATTCCTTGTTGGAATAGTGAC